AAATAAAATCTTAAAAAAAAAAAAAAAAAAAATTTTAAAACTATTTATGGTAAACTATAATAGTAAAACATTCATATTTTAAATTAGAAAACAATAGATAAGAAAACACCAGTTAAAAAAAAAAATGAAAAAGTTTTCTTGAAAAAGGAGTGTTACAAGGAAATATTTTTAAGTGTTCAAACTAAATAAGGCCTTAGAGATAAGACCGGGCCCTCCAGAGAGGAAGCGCAGACAGTGCAGGATGCAGGAGAAGCCAGTCACTGGGCAGAAGGCTGAAACCACATGAGTCCCCTCAACAAACACGGGACTAACGTGACAGGCGCCTTCTCTTGGCGGAGACAAACAGGTCTTCACCTGGGACTATAGCAGGAAAGCTAGGCTGGCTTAAGGAGATGACTATTTTGCCAGAAAAAAAATAAACCAGGCATGACGAGCAAGAGAACCTGCCTGACTTTTTGAAGAAGCAAAATCAGGCCAATGAGTCAACTGAGAGTGTCTGAGATGATGGTGGCCACTGGAGGCAAGATCTCCCTGGGTAAGGAGTCTGGATTTTATCTCAACAGCTCTGGGAAATGAGTAAAAAGTTTAAGTAAGGGAATGACGTGACCCAATCACATTTTTTAAGGTCACTCTGGCTGCTATGTGGAGAACTTGGGATGTGCTGTTTCAGAAGTATAACAAAATTTTCAAAATAAGGATAGTAAAAGAAAAAGGTTATATAAAAAGAAGTTTCCTTAGTGATGTATCTCTATGGCAGCCACTTAAGATTCTTATTAAACTCAAACTCGGTGTGATAAATCACTGTTTCTTTTTAACAGTGAGAGTTTCAGCCCCTCCACCTATATGTTTACTATGTGTTCCTCAGGGACACAGCCAAGGGTCTATGGATATCAGTTTTGCCGGTTAAGGAGAAGGAAGGCACAGATGAAAACTGGGGTCTTCTTCTGATTCTCAATCCACTGAGGACAGACTGTTCCCACCAGTCAAACTTTATTCACAGTTTAATAGTCATAGTTTTAACTCATGTGAGAGACAAAGGCATACTGTTCTATAAGCAACAATGAGCCTGGTTCTCAACTTTCGACCATGTCTCAAGTATCTTTTCAGCAACCAGCATGTGCAGACACGGCTCTCAGGGCCAGGCTGCAGCAGAGGACAGACAGGGAAGACCCCCGCTGTCATGGGGCACACACCTCTGTCTCTTGGGAAGGGGGGCCAACAGAAAATGAACAAGCACACTGACAGTGTCCCCGAGTATTACTGAGAGCGAGAAGTGCTACGAAAGGAAGACAAGCCAAGAAACCCCGACCGCGACTTGGGGGCAGAGGCTGACAGCGTTAGAGCTCAGGGAAGACCTCTGAGCCAGTGACACCAGAGCCGAGAGGGAAAGAAGCCATAGGCGCCGGCTCCCCATCAACAGACAGTAATACTAATCCAGAGCGCACAACTTACCTGCACTTCTGAGGCCGGACCAGGTGAGCCAGTTCAGCAAACCTCCACAAGGCGGCGCGCAGGCTCCGGGGAGCACCGTTCTGAGTGGGTTGAGAGTGGTGAGTTACATTTAAGAGTCACGCACGCTACTCCAAAAGGACTTCACAGAAACAAGAGCATTTATGTGATTATTTATTTCTATGTTTAGACACAAGGCCACGTAAACATGTAACTGCTGCAGAAGCATCATGGTCTCAGGGCTTCAATTACAAAGACAGAAAACTTAATTCCCATCCCATCTCATAAATATGAAGAGGAACCTTATGAAGAAAAATAAAGCAGTGAAGTCTACTTTACCAACAGCATTTCCGTCTAACATTCCCACTTAGTAAATAAAAGACAAGATTTCACATACACTGCTCAATCCAGGGAAGCAGTACCATTTGCTCAATAACAGAAAATCAAAGCCTACCTTTTTGATTTCCTTATAGAGTTCTAACTGTAGCCTCGGAAGATTGGAGTCCATCAGGGCCTGCAACAAAACACAAGAGAGCCATTCATGTAAGACTCACTCCACCAGCCCGGGAGAAAACTAAAAGGCAATTAAAATTTCAACTTGGGGGCAAAGTGGAATGTAGCAGCAACTAAACTAAGAACTGCTCATTAAGAAAGAAGCACATAGGGCACCTGAGTGGCTCAGTTGGTTAAGCGACTGCCTTCGGCTCAGGTCATGATCCTGGAGTCCCAGGATCGAGTCCCACATCGGGCTCCCTGCTCAGCGGGGGGTCTGCTTCTCCCTCTGACCCTCCCCCCCTCTCATGTGCTCTCTCTTTCTCATTCTCTCTCTCAAATAAATAAATAAATA